ATGGAAGTTAAGCTAGTATTAATAAGGACAGAACCTGGACAGATCTGTTTCTGTGGAAATAAAAGGAACTATGATTCTTCAGTAGAATTAAGTAGGTAGTAAGTTTTTTTGTGGTTTTCTTGGTATACAGTGAAATGCTTTCCTTACTCAGAGCCTTAAGCCTTCTTCTCTACTAATTGGAAAGACTTTACTGTACTTCTGTGAATGCTGTTCCACGAAACAGTGTAAAAGTGCCTTTTAACACTATCCTTTCTAGCTCTACTGTAAAGCACTGGCCTTTGTTTGTTCCCCTTTCCCCTTGATTTAAAGAACTGGTCAGTTACCAAGTGAAACCTTGTGTGTGTGTGTGTGAGCATGTGTGCATGCATAAACATGTGTCTGCACATGCTAAAAGAACTGCAAGTGTGGATACAGTTTTTCTTCCTATCTTCAATTTCTGGAAGAAGAGTTACTACTGCATTCTTTCCCATATAACAAAATATTGTGTGCTGAAACATATCCTATACAAGTTTGGCTAATTCCACTTTCTTTTACACCACAAAATAGCTAAATAGTCCATGTTTTTATCTTGTAGTCCCAAAGAACTTTGAGTCTTCATTTGAACAGTCAGATTTTCCTGTTGTCAGCTTGGTCACAACAGCAGCCTCCTGTGATATACACAGTATAAACTCTGCAGGGAACACTCTTAAAAATCACCCCTTTTGAGGAAGGACAAAGCTGCTCTTGTATCACTATTTTATTCCTCTGTTCCTTGGCATTTTGTTTTGATTTTCATTTTCTTGCTTTAGGTGGTTTATGTTCCCCAAAGACTATGAAGCTGCATGGAAAGCTTAACTTTCTCATGTGAATATATTCAGGATTTTATCTATAGGATGGGACAGAAATATATATACAAACACACACATATATAATTAAAATATATGTTGTACATTATATATATGTAATGCTTGTTATATTTCCATTTAGATACATGTCCAGGTGAACTCACTTCAAATAAATGAGTGTCTGCAAAGCTCAATGTAAATCAAATCTCTGAAGAGGAATTTTGCTCCTAAAAAGAATTATGCTACAACTACCATTCTAAAGAAAAGTTCCTTTCTAATAAGAAAACAAAATTATCTGATGATATTACCTTTTACTTATATCTAGATTTTCAGAATTTAAGTAAAAACATACATACGGATTTTAAGTAAAGCATACGGAAATCTTTGGGCAAGGAATAACAAACTAGTAGAATGAAGTATTTTCAGTAACGTCATATTGGTTGATTACTGTTGTATAAACACAATAGTAGCTCTATTTTCATTAGATAATTCTTATACTGAGATCCTTATTCATTAGCTTGAGCATTATGAAGCCCATATGAACCAATCCCTGCTTTGACGAAGTTTATAATCTAGTTAAGGAATGTACTACCATGAGAAATAGAGAAGATAGAAATTTAAAATATGCTAATTGAATGTAGAGAATAAATACAGAAATCACTAGAAAGAGATATGGGGCTGAAGAATAGTCAGAGAGGTTGGGACATGTGGAAGGCATTGAGGAGGGAAGTTTTAGATAAGCAGAGGCTTGCAAGGAAGCCCCAGATATTAAAACCACAGTGAAATGAGTGTTGGGTGGGTAAGGGTTGAGGAGATAAAGAGGTTTCTAATTTGTGTAGAAAATCTGTAGTGAAGAAAAGTAGAGAATCAAGTTACATTAGTAAAAGTGAGATCAAAGAGTGGGTGATCCTAAAATATACTTCAAGGAATAGTTGATAAGGAGCAAACTATGAAACTAATGATGAGTATATTAAAAGAAAATTTAAAAGGCAGGTATGCACAAGAGAGACTGGCAGAGAGTAATTTCAGGCAAGTAGAACACATATGGGGAAATGACATTAATTTGAGGTAAAGTTAGTCTAGTCTATTTAGGTATAAAGGGATAACTTAGTGGGCCGGCAGTTATTACTAAAGGAAAACAGAATTTGTGGATGCTTTCCCACATAGTTCAGTGACCCATGGAGAACCTCTGTGTGAAGCACTTTGAAAGCTAGAATGTAAGCTCCAAGAAGCCAGGGTCTAGCTGTTTTGTTTACTAACACATGGCCGGTGCCTAAAACAGCATCTCACAGTAGGAGCTCAATAAATATTTCTTGCATATTTATTATTTTAAGATATAGTTTAAAGCCTACCACCTTTCATTTGAACTTTCCCTTACTCTTTCAGGTAGCAAAGCTTAGTGGGAAAACCATAGATTTTAGAATCAAGTAGACCTGCGTTCATCTACTGACTAATACTTACAAACCTTGTAACTCAGACTAACTACCTAACTTTTCTGATTCTCAGTTTTCTCATTTGTAAAATAGAGAATTCTGTGCATCTTGCAGAGTTATTATCAGATTTAGAGATTATGGATGTAAAGTGCCCAGATACATTTAGGGACATATTAGTTACTCAATCCACAGTAGCTATTAATTAAGAGCAGGTATCACTCAATCATGCTTTCTTGTTTATTTCCAATTTATATAATTTGTCACTTTGCACTAGAGTTAATATATCTATTTTCTCTCCCTCAATACACCAACTTTTTAGTACACCAAATACCAATTTCTTTAATGTGCCTAAGAAATTTTTCTCTCAAAATTCAGCATAAGCTTTTTCTCAGTCAAGTTTTCTTGAACTATTCAACTAGACTTCAGTACGTTCTCTTCATGTCCATGTTGTACCTTTTACTCCTACATCTTGAAAGTACTTAGGTTCATGTTTGTCTTCACTCCTGGAATATGAGCTCCACAAAGACAGGGGCGCTACCTTCTATTCTACATCCCTGGTGCCTAGTAAACTACCCTGGGCTTTCTACAGAAGAAGAGATGAGTATGAAAATTATCAAGTCATGTCACACAAAATCCATCAAGTAAGTGGAGATTAAAAAGAATGCAATGCCTATCAGAAGATATCCTCAACAGTAATCATTCTTAGAGAGGGCAGGGACCAGTGGAAAAAAGAAATTATTCAGATAGAGTTTCGGAACTCTCTCCTATAGAGTTTTTTTTTTTTTTATAGATTTTTTATTTATTTTTTTGACAGAGAGAGACACAGTGAGAGAAGGAACACAAGCAGGGGGAGTGGGAGAGGGAGAGACAGAAGCAGGTTTCCTGCTGAGCAGGGAGCCCGATGCGGGGCTCAATCCCAGGACACTGGGATCATGACCTGAGCTGAAGGCAGACGCCCAATGACTGAGCCACCCAGGCGCCCCTCTCCTATAGAGTTTTGATTAAGGAAGCCAAGGTAACATGAGAGGTTAGAGAAGCAGACCTTACTCATATTTTTCATATACCTGTTCTGATATTAATAATAGTGGCTACTGTATTCTACTTGAGAGTTGGCCTATGTGCTTTTTATCCATTCCTGATTCCAGGAACCAGTGATCACAAGACCTCATTTTGTCAATCAAGAATACTCCCAGTGTGCGGAGCAGAATGGCTGGTGAAAATGATTGTTACACTTGAAGATATCAGTCTTTTCTGAGATCGGCCATCTAGTTAGACAGATAGGAAGGATGGAGAGGATGTACCCAGAGTCCATTTCACATCATATTCTCAGATAAGTTTATCACTTTGTTGATATGACTATGATATCAAGCTATAAAGCTGGGATGTTGGAATTTGGCCAAAATGGAGAAAACAAAATCCTTCAAATGTCATTTGGTGTCTTGTAGAATACACAAATGACTGCATTTTGTTTTCATTTCAACTAGTTGCTGCGGGCTGAGCCACAATGAGTGGCTATATATAAAGAGAAGGAGAGAAGAGAGAGAGAGAGCTTTTATTTTTTACTCCTTGAATCTAAATTTATTAATCTACTTAAATTGAATGGAAGATATCTAATTAAGCATTGCAGAGCACTTACAGAATTCAAAAATCTATTCATGTGTTTGAACGAAAGCATCGATTTTTCCTGGAAAGTATGATGCTCTTGTGCATATTATATCAAATCCAAATCTTATTTTCCAATAAAGGAAATAGAGTACTTTGTCTATTAAAAATTATATGAAATCTATATTTTTAAAGTGTAGCCTCTGGTAGATAGGAAATTCTGTATAAGTAGGATAATATTTCATTATTTATTGATTCACGTCTACCCAAAAAGAGAGCACATTATTTTCTTTTTAAATGGATGGTATTGCTAAGATGTAGTTATTTTAATACGCTAATGCCAACATAACACTTATATTTTCTCATCAGTCTTTCAGATCAGTTTACAATATTGAGGGAGAAAATATTTTTTACTATTACACTATATTCACCTATCAACATTAGATTAAACTTACTTTGTAAGTTCATTATGTAACTTACTTTAATACACTGCTTGTTATTGTCTGAGAACCCAATGACATTAAAAGGCACACTTAGCAAAATGTAATATTAGTTTTACTTGTAACCTTCTTAAAAAATAATATAAATCAGGTATATATAAATGCCTGACTAAAGAAAACAACATACACTTTTGTAAAATCAAAATGATGGTTTCATATTAACTCAAATTCCTGCCAGTAGACCCCAAACAAAATGATCACTACTACTTCTAAAAAACAATGCTTTAACTGTCAAGTGAAATCATAGGGATCTCATAAAGATGTGCAAATCAAAGATAGAATAGCTCTAGCGCGCCTGAAGTGGCTAAGCTCCCAAGCAAATCATCCCTATTAGTTCCTATTCATGATTTCAATTATGCTTTTTTATCTGTTCGTAACATGCAGCATTTTCTTACCCTCACATTTCTAGGCATTTTAGCTTCTGCTGACATAAAGGCATTCCTCAAATAGAATGTTACAGCAATCTTCTGCTAGACATTTAAGCCCATTTGTGCGTTTATTTTTTAAGATGCTTTTTTGAAACTTCTAACTGTGAGTGGTCTGGGAAGGTAGTGTGAGAATGAATGAGAACTTGTTTTCTAAAGCGACACTGTAGACACTTGATCTACTGTTAAAAAAAAAAAAAAATCACAGCCTCCTACCTTGAAAACAAACATCTCCCGGCGAAGAATAGCCAGAGTGTTAAAGTTCCCATCGCAGATGTTGGGTTTGGCTCCAGGATAGGAAGGTCTGCCAGTGGGAGGCCGAGGAGCTTTGGGCCTGTCATTCTTGCGTGGGTCGGCGGGAGGAATGGAGCGGTGTGGGGGCATCGTCGGTAGAGGTCTTGTCGGTGGAGGAGTCTTGTCAGGTGGACCTTTGAAAATATGAGGAAAGCACTTGGCTCACTTAACACTGGAATGGTGCTGGACAGTCTGCTGCCAAGGACAATCACTCATGAGGGGCGGGCCCAGATTAAGTGAGCTAAGAAGTCTTAAGATTGTATGTTTTCTGAAAAAACAAACCATCGTACCCAACACACCACTGCCAAGTCTCTCAGAAAGTCCTTATCATGCTAAGTTCTGAATCCAATTCACTGAACTTTCTTTGTTAATTTTTAATGATATTTTTTTATAGCTTCGCCAGAGTCCTTATTGGAAAAGCTGCTTTCAAATCTTTTTTGGAAGTAGGTGGTGTATAAATAATACATAAATGAAGATGAATACTGGAACCATGCATGTAAGCTCCACCAAAGTTAATCCTAGGTTTTGATAGACAATGACTCTATGCAAATAGTTCTAAAGGATAAACATTAACGAATCAAAGTTTATTCTATCCTGTGTCTCCAACTGTATTTATAACCTTTTCCTGACTTTCATTATTTTCTTCTAATGACATGTTTTGACAAATTGCCAGATGAGTGTTTCATTTGAATACTGAATCTGAAACACCTATTGATTAAAACGCCACTAGTAAAATATTAATGTGAAGAAGTATTTCTAAAAAGAGGTTTCTAAATTAAGCCAAAGTTTACACATGTAATTTGGTACAGATGTAAAGCATCATTCCTCAAGGAATTTATGTTTTTAAAAAGAAATACAGAGCTGTTCACACTTAATATTTAGATACGGAAAGAATATCCTTTTGCAGACCTTCAGTCTAGACTATTAATTCATGAGGTCATGAGAAAGAGCCTTCCCTAACCTCAGTTAACCACTTAGGAGGAATTTCTGATGGCACAAATTAGGCACAGGCTAGCACGTTCGACACATGTGCAACTTAGTTTTGAGTCTGAGACATTTCCCTTTTCTCAGTATCCCCCAAATAAAGAGCAGCACAAAAGCTGACATTTTTTTTTTTCTCCAAAACCTATTTTGACCCTGAGAGAATGGTTACCACTGAGATACTGAAATTGAAAAACTAATGAATGCAAAACAAATTAGTGAACTTAAACTATGCTATTTAAAAATGCAAATGACACCTTCTGGATACTGGATATTAACATACAGATAACACACATTTGCCTTTGTATTGTAAAATGAAAGCGTCACTTCATTAATTTAGTAAAGCATACTCTCTATATGTAAATTATAAATGTCAAGTTCTTAACAATTATGTGTGAAATAAATGTCTTTATAAAGGTCAGTGGTTCTGTTGATGGAGTTAGGATTATAGTCTTTCTCCCTTTGTCTTAATTTGTATTCACTGACTGAACCCCATAAATAAAAATGATCTTAGTATATTAGAAATTTATTTTGAATCAGGTGTAAGTAAACTTTGCCATTTGTTAACTTCCACTTCCATGTTTGTTAACTTTCACTTAGTCAATAATTTCACGCTTTTGAGGTCTTTTTATTATAGCCATTACACAAGAGTATGTTCTGCAATCTCAAAAGGGATTTATCCCGTAACTGTCTAACATCAAGTATCATAAACTGAGGGTCAATTTATCAGTTTTTACCAAAATCTCAGTATCTTATAAGAAGATCTTTTATTTCTCACTGCTTTTATTGGTTATATTCATTTATTATATTTTTTTACCTGAATTTTAAATATTAAGTTTGTCAGATCTTTGCTGTAACTGCAGGTTTCAATTAAACTCAGTAAGAAAAATTTATCAGTGTGTAGATTTACTATAATCTGTATATTAAGCTATCTGGACTACTGCTAACAAAACTTGATTGATATAAGACTTCTGCCAATAGGCCAGACTATTTTTTTTCTTATTTCTCGGTATTTATCTTTCTCATATACTTAGAGCATCCATCTCAAAGAAGAAAACACAGCAGGAATTCTGGACTTCACTGTAGGGTTAACCAAACAGAAACAGTGGTAACCTACCATAAATTTTCTGGATGCCTTGCAAATCATCATTAGGTAGTTTGAAGTTGTCAGTTTCCATGTACTGGTAAAATGGGGCCATGATGGCAGTGGGGTCATTGGAATGCTCCAATCCCAGAGCATGTCCCAGTTCGTGAACTGCTACAAGAAATAAGTCATTTCCTGTGAAAATGAGAAGAAAAGATGCTATTGTAACTAATATCCAAGTACAGAATTGGAAAGGACAATTTGGTGTTATCAAAATTTCACCCAAGAAAAATAGGAGGAGCTCTTTATTTCACTATCAGTGTGATTTTATCACTGGACTTTCTACTGGCAAAATCCAATGTGCTATTTCTGAAAAGGTGGGGGGTGGGAGGTGATGTTAATGTAGTCACAGAAATTTAGAAACTGAATGGGAAGAACAAAGACTAAAGGTTGAAGAAAGAGCAGGAGCATCAGAGATTGCTACTACTGCTGTTGAAATATCCTTCTGATTGGAAAGTACGTAATATACTTTTAAATATCTTTACATCGCACATAATGCCAACAAGCAGTAAAAAATACAGGGCAGATACAATCCCTACTTTTACACAGTGAGTAAACTAAGGCATAAAGGTGAACAAGTCTTGTCAAGAACAGCAAATCTTCGCATTTACAAGAGGTGTGACTAGAACTCAAGGTTATTTTAACTCCTAGATGAAGGCTTTTCTTTAAATTAGCCTAGAATATAGGAATACAGAAGTGTAAAATAAAAGTCATAGGCTAGCAGCTATAACCAGGATTCTAGTCCTAGCTTTGTGAATACAAATTCTAATCAACTCATATGCAATCTGAACAAAATATATTTATTTAGAGTGGCTGTTTCTCACGGAAGAAAAAAAAAAAATCTCTCCCACCTGTGGTAAACTTGCACAGTGAAGTCTATTTAGTGCAGACTCTCAGAGAAGCTTTATGCTGTCACAGCCCTGCTGATGACCCCTACATGTGGCCCTGTTCTGGATCATCATAATTAAACTCATGAGCAAAAGAGCCAGTCTTACATGTATATTTGTTAATTCTAAAAATTTAGTTAAACTATGTGAGCATCCAACAGTTTAGACTATTAGACTTCTAAGGGTATGTTCCTAAGTGGAAAGTTTAAAATGACTGAACATCAAGTGTAAAGTTTTGCATAGATGAATTGCAAATGATTTCAATGGACTTCCTGAGTGTCATTTTTAGGAAAACTCTCTTCCAAACATTTTTATAATGCACTGTGGTAATTCCCTTCAGAGGTTTTTGTTTTGTTTTGTCTTGTTTTTACACAAAAGCTGAGTACATAACATTTTTTTCCTACTCCGGAGTAGTCTGTCATAGAAAAATGGATGAAACCATGGGCCTGCTTCATCATATGACCTTAGCATACTGAAAATGAGCCATTCAAAACACTTCAGGGGCCTGACTCTCAAAGAATAACTGATTAAATACTGGTGTGAAACAAATTGGAAGAGTTTAAAAGGAAATAGAAGTTAACATTTCCAATCTCAAAGAGCTTATCTTCTCCTCTTATAAAATACTTAAATGTGCAAATGAAGACACAAAAAGAAAAATAATATAATATGTATTAGCTTTAATTAAAAAATATTAACTAGGTTTATTAAAAGTTTGCTAGCTTTG